TTAGTACCAAAGAATAAATAAAAAGTTATGAAATTTAAGTACAGTAGAGTGTTGTTTATCCGAAAGTCGGTTATCCAAAACGTCAGTTATCCGAAAGAATTCCAGTTGGCAAATTTAAACTTTTGCTAGTGCTGTGGCACTGCAATCTTTGGCTATGTCCTGGGCTACTCAAATATTTTACGTTTTTGATACTAAATTAACTTCTGAAGTATAATTTTTTATTGTTTTTATATTTTTCAATATATTTATTTTGTTTGTACAAAATAAAGAAATAATTTTTAACGATACAATAGCCACGATTATTATTTTAAAAAGTTTATGTTAGGCTTAACATCAACAAAAATTTAACACAAAGTGGCATGCAACGGAGAAAAATTTCAGGATGGGATAGGTTAATATATTTTTTCATACATAATCGGTTATCCGAAAAATAAGTTATCCAAACAACCCCAGTCTCCAATTGATTCGGATAAACGACGCTCTACTGTATTTCCAAGACGTTATCAGCATTTAATCTGTTTTTTTAAAGTAGTTTGATTATTATTATATTTACTTTTTAAACGTTGGTACTATTTTCATGAACTAAAAAAATTCAACAAATGTTCGATAAACTAAAGTTGATANCTTTTTGTTTGGCTTGATTTTATTTGAATTATGTGGGAGAGTTCTATAGAGAGGTTTTAAGGTCATATTTCACATGATAAAATGCCCATTTTGCTTTGCCCCTTTGCCATGTTTATGGTCTGGCTTCTGCCTGCTTAGCTTACACATGGTTTGTTATTTGACAAGTTAGCAGCATTGTTTTTTTATTTAAACTTAATAGAACTTCAGTATTTTTATATCATGGACAAAGTTAGAAAACATGCTATTCTTGAAGTCTGATAGGACAAGATGCTACTTTTAAAGAAGAGAAAGTTTCATTATGTTAACCACTTGACATGGGACTGCATGCCCAGCATGGTATCGTCATAATTGCAACAGGACCACTGAATGGCATCAGGTATTGTTTATAGATGAATTCCACTTCTGTCTGTGGAGGAATGGCAGGTGTGGTGGTATCCAGGGGAATGCTACATGCCAGTCATTTTTGCTTAGTGTTACACCAACTCCACATCAAGCATTATGGTTTGGAGAAGCATCATATTCAACCAGCGATCAGCCCTGGTGCATATTTCCAATACTCTACAGTGGACCAGTACATCATATGAATTGTGTGGCCTGTGGTTTGGTCACTGGTGCACACTGCACCCGACACAATGTTCCAGCAAGTCAATGTTTGACTGCATATCATACAGCAAACTCTCACCAGCCTGAATGGAATTCACATCCATCCTTGGCCAGCAGCCTCACTGGATGTCTTTCCCATCGAAAACCTGTGGGCCTCATATGATATGAGATGCACCAGGGACTGCTGCTACATACCATAGACAACATGCATGCCGCAGTGGACACAGCTTGGCAAGGGATACCTCAGGCAACCATTAATTGCCTCATTGATAGTGTCTTGAAGTATAGCAGCCTATATACCTGCATATGGGGCCATATTTGTTACTGAATAAACAGGTGTCTGTTGAATATCTTTGTTTGTTCTTTTAATCATTTGCATATCTCTGTCGATCCGGCAATGTGCATGTGGCTACATGCATTCTTTTGTGGTGTTGTTATGTCACTTATGAGGAGTGTAGTAAAATATCAAATATTAAATTACTTAAAAATAAATTTAAAAACTCACGCCAATGTTTGTATAACTTATGGATACAAATTCACTGAGTTCAGCGTTAATAAAGTTCCTTTAGTATTAACACAAGCACTTTCGACGAATGTATAATCGTAGTCTTCAGGTGAAAAGAACAAATTTTAACAAGACAAAGTGCAGGATGTTCCAAAGGAACAGAATATTTAAATTCGAACAGGCATCTGGAAATTCCGTTAAGAACGTGCAAATAATTTTTGATATGTTCGAATTTTTATATTTTACGATGCTAGCGGCGCATGCGTGGAAATGCTACCACGTTGGCAATACGATGTTAGGCACATTTCGTTTTTTAGGTGCCAATATAAGGCAATCCACACCCCGTGTAGATCAAGGGTGGGAACATTGCACGCTTCTGAAGTAGCCATGAGAAGCGCTTCCCAGATAAACACAAGCCTTTGATTGTTGCAGCATTTAATTATTTCCGTTCTGGGCCATAACGGGTTGTAGCCTTGATCAAGAACTTTTTTAGCGAGCTCTGTAGAACATCTTCCTTTGGCTACGTCATCCTGATGCTCAGCAAGGCGGGAGGCGAGCATTCTTGTTGTTGCTCCTATGTATCTTGTAATATTTCCCGTTACCAGATTTTCTAGGTTTATCCTGTAAACCCCTGACTTTTCTAAAGTGGTTAGCCTGTCCCAGTCATTGCAGATACATCTGCATAGGTTTGGTAGGGGGGTTATGGGTTTTTGAAGCCGTAATGCTTGCTAACTCCTTGATCATCAAAAAGGGATTCAACATACAACAAGTGCTGGACATACGTGATGCACTGACATTCATCACTGAGCACAATTATTTTCTTTTCAACAAGAGCATCTACTTGCAGAAACGAGGAGTTCCTATGGGCTCCCCGCTATCTGCAGTCTTGGCCGAGCTCATTAGGAGAGAAGTTGAGCGTCGAATTTTCAACTCCCCTCTTACCATCAGTTATCTGTCGCTATACTTACGTTATGTCGACGATATCCTAATAATATGGGAGAATACAGAGGAGGAGTTTATCAAATTTGTGCAGCAACTTTCAAGCATATACCCTACAATCAGTTTCACTTGGGAGAGGGATCATGAGGATTCAATAGCGTTCTTGGATCTGTGTATACAAAAGTCGGTTGAGGGGCCGCAATTTGCTGTTCACCACAAATCTGATCTGTTACCATATATTATCCCGGCAGATGCTTTCCAACCGTCGCGGTACATCAATGCCGCCATTGCTGCACTTGTTAGAAGAGCATTACTGCTTCCATCGACACAGCTAGCAACAAAAATGGAATTAGACATCATTAGAGTAGCGGTATCTCTTGCAGGATTTACATATGGCAAATATGAGCGTGTGCTCCGTAAAGTAAAAGAGGCCCTATATTATCCATGTACCACGCTGTATGGAAAGGAAAAAGCATCCATCATCCAGTCATCATTGCTGTATCTTGGACCAATCTCTATACGCATCAGCCGCATATTCCGACAATATAATTTCATACTATCCATAACCCCTTACCAAACCTACGCAGATGTATCTGCAACGACTGGGACAGGCTAACCACTTTAGAAAAGTCAGGGGTTTACAGGATAAACCTAGAAAATCCGGTAACGGGAAATATTACAAGATACATAGGAGCAACAACAAGAATGCTCGCCTCCCGCCTTGCTGAGCATCAGGATGACGTAGCCAAAGGAAGATGTTCTACAGAGCTCGCTAAAAAAGTTCTCGATCAAGGCTACAACCCGTTATGGCCCAGAACGGAAATAATTAAATGCTGCAACAATCAAAGGCTTGTGTTTATCTGGGAAGCGCTTCTCACGGCTACTTCAGAAGCGTGCAATGTTCCCACCCTCGCTCTACCTGGGTGTGGATTGCCTTGTATCGGTGTCTAAAAAACAAAATGCGCCTAACATTGTATTGCCAACGCGGTAGCATTTCCACGCATGCGCCGCTAGCATCGTAAAATATAAAAATTCGAACATATCAAAAATTATTTGCACGTTCTTAACGGAATTTCCAGATGCCTGTTTGAATTTAAATATTCTGTTCCTTTGGAACATCCTGCACTTTGTCTTGTTAAAATTTGTTCTTTTCACCTGAAGACTACGATTATACATTCGTCGAAAGTGCTTGTGTTAATACTAAAGGAACTTTATTAACGCTGAACTCAGTGAATTTGTATCCATAAGTTATGTAATTACAAAAACTANAGATGGATTTATCACAACTTGATCTCTTGCAGCTTCTTCCAATTCTTTTTGTACTTGATATTGTTTCAATCTTTGTAAAAAAATAATAATATTTGCATAAAATTACATTTAATAAATTTCAAATATTTAAAAATTGTATAAAATAATTATAAATTGAAAACAAAGAAATATTCATATTATAGATTTCTCAAATTTTTCATTACAATAATAAAACTTTTCAAAAATATTTCATTTAAATTCTCTGCTACAATAAAATAAAATAAAATACTCCTCAAACCTTTAACCGGAGTGCTTCTATTTTTAGAATTGCGAACGTTTTCGTCACCCCTCCTGGGCTCTTCTTCAGGCTATAACGAATGGGCCTTTAATATATATGAATCTCTTCCGAATTCGATCATTTGAAATCGTTCCGAAGTTGTGTTGCGCATGCTCCATACTCATCCCTTTAAATGCTGTTATCTATCAAAATCTCTTCTGAATTCTATCTTTGTATTGCGCATGCTCCATACTCATCTCTTTAAATAAGGTGGGAAGAAACGGCACGTGTATTAATTATAAAGAGGAAATGGCCCTATCAATAGCATGGCAGATTTTGCTGGATAACAGCATTTAAAGAGATGAGTATGGAGCATGCGCAATACAAAGATAGAATTCAGAAGAGATTTTGATAGATAACAGCATTTAAAGGGATGAGTATGGAGCATGTGCAACACAACTTCGGAACGATTTCAAATGATAGAATTCGGAAGAGATTCATATATATTAAAGGCCCATTCGTTATAGCCTGAAGAAGAGCCCAGGAGGGGTGACGAAAACGTTCGCAATTCTAAAAATAGAAGCACTCCGGTTAAAGGTTTGAGGAGTATTTTATTTTATTTTATTGTAGCAGAGAATTTAAATGAAATATTTTTGAAAAGTTTTATTATTGTAATGAAAAATTTGAGAAATCTATAATATGAATATTTCTTTGTTTTCAATTTATAATTATTTTATACAATTTTTAAATATTTGAAATTTATTAAATGTAATTTTATGCAAATATTATTATTTTTTTACAAAGATTGAAACAATATCAAGTACAAAAAGAATTGGAAGAAGCTGCAAGAGATCAAGTTGTGATAAATCCATCTGAGTAAGGAAATTTAGAAAATAAAATTAATTATATAAAATCTTGTAAAATTTAAATTGCTTCAATTTTGCCAGATATATTTTTTATTATTTTTCAATTAACCTTTAGAAAAAAATTCGTGAAATTTAAGCTAAATTCATTATTAAATTTAATGTTACACATTTATTTGTATGTATTTAAAGAAACATTTATCATTAATATGTGGACTATACTTTCAGCAAACCTAATCGTATATTGGAAAGTCTATGGCAGTAATCACATCACAAAAACTGTGTCATGCTAACGATTTAAAGTATTACTCTGTGTCACTCTGTGCAGGCAGCTACCAAAATGTGATCTGTTTTTCTGACAATATTCTTGAATGATTTATGTCAGATGTTTTTAAATGAAATGTAATATGTAACAAAATATGTACAACATTAGAAATGACATCTGTTATTTTACTATACTGCATGTAGTATTTATTTTGCATATATATGTAATATATTTAAGAGAAATTTTTTTTATTGGCTCTTAAAAGAAACATTTTCTACATTCATAAATGTACAATTCCATTAAGGTTATCATCTGAATAATCAGAAGTGTCAGAATCTTCAAAAGAGATTTTCAAGTGCTCAACAGCATTATCCATCAGTCCATCTAATTTTCCACATGTTGTTTTTTTATTCTTTTATTACCTGCTGGATACAGTTTGCCCAATGTGTGGCTGTGGCAGGATTAATTCTTTCTGCAATAAGCTGTTCTACTTCATCGACTTTGAAAGTGCAATTTTCACTTTCAATGAATCCTTTAGTTTGGCTCTAAATCATTTCAATTGGGTTTAAATTGATATGGAGACAGATGAAGAACTGTGTACCCATGGTTGAAGGGTTATGTAATCAATATGATATAAATTGCATTCACTGCAAACATTAGAAACTACAGATATTGTCTTCAGTATATCAGAATTCCATGGAATCTGTTTTTCTGTCAGCCAGGTTTCAATATCTCATTTCTTGTTAGATGCAATTGGGATATTTTCCATACAAATGGTATGATATGTTGCATTATCTAAAACAATTATGCTATTTGGTTCAATATTTGGTAATTGTTTGTTGACAAACCATGAGTCCTTATCATTTCTGATACTTGAAAAAACAGTAGGAGATCTGTAAGCAATCCTGTTATTTGTGTAGTGAGAAATTTCCCTATAGAAGTTAGCTAAGACCTTATTTTACATAATGACCAAAAAGGAGCTGTCTTCTGATTGTAAGAGCTCCACAGGATGTTCTTGACATAAAATAAAAGCATTAATTAGTTGCACAGGGTATTGTAGAGATTGGAACAATATTACTAATTACTATTAGATATACATATAACTAACACCTTATTCTTGCCGGGAAATATAATTTATTTGAAACAAATCTACAGACAGAGAAGAGGGGTCCCTATGGGAAGCCCGCTCTCAGGGATCCTATGCGAATTGGTAGTTAGAAGACTGGAAAGAAGAATTTTTCATGGTTTTAAGGAGGATGTCATGTATTTTAGCAGATATGTTGATGACCTACTTATATTATGGAGAAATAACAGCAGGATTAAAGATTTTTTGGATAAGATCAATGATAACTAGGGTTTCTGAAACGGGATTCCGGGATCCCGGTTGTTTTTTTAACCCGGGAAATTTTTCTTATCCCGGGAAATCCCGCAAATTTCTTAAAAATTCACTTTTTTTCTTATTTTGTGTTAAGGTTGAGGAGTTTTGCAAATAGAAAGCATAATTAACTCATTCACTGCCAGAATACATTTGTATTTATTAATTTTAAACCTACCTATTAGTTTTTTTAAATTTTTGCTCGTTATAGCATGTCACAAATGGTCAATAATCAATATATAGCTTATTTGTGGCATGACTATAAAAATTCTTTACTTGTCGGAACCTGTAATATCTGGAATAATTGTGCTTACGCTGTCTTGAGTTTTAACCATGCCCAGTAGCTTCAATAAATGCCTGACGCCAGATTGTGCAAATTGGGCAAGGATACAAACGAGTACAAAGTCTGCAAGTATGAAGTTTTTCTTCATAAACCTGATTATTAAAGCCAAATGAATTGCCGAATTATCGAGCTCTAAGCTTGATGCCGCTATTAAAGCAGCCAAGGTAGACAAATCAAGAATACTAGAGAGCGAAAGAAGTACTACAATCTCGAAAACGAACTCGAAAGCTTCCAGGCTACAGGTGAAAAAACACATAATATCTGTCTTCTCTTAAATGCATTAAACACTATTCCAATCACATCAATTGAATCGGAAAGGGCATTCTCGGTGGCAAGACTTTTCATTACTAAAATAAGAATTAGAGTGAGTTATCGGAGTATTGACCATCTTTGCTTTTTAAAATCTTATAAAAGTTTGCAATATTTTGTATTATATTTTATTTAAAAAACGAAAATTACCTTCTAAATTAGAAGTTCATTTTTTTAATTTTTAACTCAATTCAAAACATTTTTTTTGTTGTTGTTGTATGCAGTTTCCAGCAAACTTTAATTAATTTTTTTCTATTTGTGAAAATTTCTACGTTATTTAAAGGTAATTTTTATTATAGGCCTATAGACCTTACACAGCATTATTAATATGATTTTGGAGGTTACAGAACTTTAAAATTACTTTAAAAAATGGAAAATAATTATATCATTTGATTTCAAGATATTTTGTATACCTTAAAAATAATTAATTCTATCCCGGGATCTCGGGAAACAGTTCACTTTTATCCCGGGATCCCGGGACAAGCAAAATACCGGGAAATGAGAAACCCTAATGATAACAATGATGGCCTTACTTTACGATTGGAGCAGAAGAGTTCCTTGGATCTGCATTTTCTAGACATCAGTATTAAATTCAAAAAAGGCCACCTGTCCACTAACGTTTTTATAAAACCATCCCACAGCCCATTGTATATTCCCTCCCAATCCAAGGATCCGTATAAATATAAAATTGCAGCTTTCAGAGCTTTAATAAGAAGGGCATTTTTGTATTGTGAAACAGTACAAGACAGGAGGAAAGAAATAAATAGAATAATAAGCGTGGCCAAGACCCTAGGTTACCGAAAAGGCGCAATTCTGGGAATGGTTAGGAATTATGAAGCGAACATCAAGAAAGTGTCTTTTAAAAATGCTCTCACTGGAATCGTAAAATTTACATATAATGAAAATATGAATAGGGTTATGAAAGAGATTGCTCGCAGAAAAGGTTTGAGGATGTTTATAAAAAAGGGCTCCTAATTTATACAAAATCCTCAGGAATGATAAGGATGATATAATGTCGGAAGAGAGAGCAGGGGTTTATAGAATTCCTTATGAGAATAAGCAATTGGGCGTTAAAAAAGACTATATTGGAGTAACCACCAGGAGTTTAGGACTTAGAATCAAGGAGCATAGTTATAATATCAGAAAGGGGTCTAATGCAACAATTTTATCCCAAATGGCGCAAGAACCAGGATCTGTAGTCAAATGGAATGAGGCAGCCATCATAAAACCTTTATCTTTTCCATCTTTGGTGTTGATAGTGGAAAAGTTGCAGATTTATAGGAGTAAAATACAAAAAAGGCTGTTTAAATGCAAGGGATGCAGAAAGTCGTCCATCTGCATGGAAGTTTATAGTTAAGAAGTTTAATAAGAGCTCTAACCAGTCAAAATAGTAGTTTTATTGGATGTGTTAGTAATTGTATTTATTAATACTTCTATGTACATTTTTTACATTTTATATTTTTTGTTTTATGTTACTCTGTTAGTTATTTAATATTTTAATTTTATTTTTATTTTATCTTATACTGTTGCTTATTTAATTTTAATTTTGAATTTTGTATTCCATTGATGGAATCCTTTAATTCAAATTTGTTCTAAACCTGAGGATGGCCTGTGAATCAGGCTGAAAACGTTTGTTTCAAATAAATTATATTTCTCGGCAAGAATAAGGTGTTAGTTATATGTATAGTGATTTGCTGAGTACTTTATGATATTATTACTATTAGATATTTATTTTCTTCCATAGACTTTTCAATATATGGTTAGGTTTGCTGCAAATATACTCCAAAGTATATATAAACTTCAGAAAATTCAGCTAGAATTGATAGGTCTTGCTGCAAATGATTTTTATAAAAACTGATTACCGTCCTTTCATTGAACTCTTGCTTGCTGTTTATTGATTTTGTCTGTCACTCTGCTGTGTTTAGCATTGACTTGACTGATCCATGAAATTAAGGCATTCTCAAGTTCTTCGTGTTTGGTACCTTTCAATTTTGTTACTACTTGAAGATGCACCCTCTCATAAACCACCTTGTTAATGTCTGAAAAGTGTTACAAATGTACGTCTGTTGATGGGTTTTTGCCACAAAAGCAAAAAATGACACAGTAGTTTCTTGCTGACTTGTCTTTGGATAAACACAGTTCTTTTAGCATATATCATAAGCATGGCCCTCTGAGATCAAGGTAGTGATGTTTCATATTCTGCTTTTGTCTCTGATTTGAAGTCACTTTCTTAATTCTATTTCCAGGAACTTTCCATATTGATAAAGTTCTTACTTTTTCACGGTGTAAAGGATTGAATAGCTAAATTCCTTCTGATTCACTGTGTTAGCTCCATTGGGTCTTCTATCCTATCTATCTATAGTGTTTATTCTTAACAAAGGCACAAACAGGAACTAAATTTACATTCAACATACCTGGGGCTCTGTTTTAACTTTTGAAATTGCTTCGAGGCTTAGCATTTTATCTCCTTTTGAAGCATAAGGGCATGAATAAGTGAAAACAGCTCAATAAAATTTATGTTGGAGAAAAACTAATACCTTAATTTCTTGGTGCTAAGTGATGTGATGTAATTTTGAGAGCACCCAAGTTATGTAGACAGCAGAAAATTTGTACACATGAATTTTTTGGCATTAGGTAAAGTTGGTGTTATATTGGGAGCACTAACAGAGGTTGACTATATTTTGGTATTTGTATTTGTTACTTGATTACATTTATTGTACAGAAAGTCCTTGACTTAAAGGACTTTTTCTGGATTTATATAAATTTACGGTACTTAAATTTCAAAATGAAAAAATTTGTCATAAAAAATAAAATTTTATGAAGATTACTGTTGAATGATGAATATTGCAATCATTTCCTTTATTTTGAGCAAGTACATTTTTACTCTTGTATACAGGTATCCCTTGCTTAATGCAGGATTTAATTAACACACAAAATTAATTGCAACAATCCTTTTATTTATGCTGAGAAGTTTTAATTAATGTGACTTTAACAGCTATCTTTACTTAACATAGATATGTTTTTCTCAGCAAATAAGTTGTTGGTGAATTTGCTATTTTCATACTGAGGATGATTTCCAATATACATTGTAGTTTAATTATGGTAGTTGTGAAATTTAACACATTATTGCTAATATGATATTTTATTCTTTGTTTAGAAGGGCTAATTTAAAACTTTATTTTATGTTTTGTTTGCGTAAAATCAAATTGAAATGTTTGCAGGTAAAATGCATATGGGGCATAACTTATTGTGTGTGCTTTTTAAGTTTTGTAAACAATATAATGACATAGAAATAGTAAAAAATACTCATAGTGCATTTGAAAGATGTTCCAAAACATTGGACATGTTAAATTTAGTTTTGAAAGTATCATTTGGGAAATTTTGAACTAAAGAATACAAAAAATGGTGCCCAAAAGTTGTTGACAAAGAGAAATTTCAGGAAGAAATTGTTAAAAATCGACAAATAACTTGTGAACTTACAGCACATCTTAGTGTATCACCAACATGATCATTGTGTTTCACATCCATTAATTGGAAAAAAAAAACTGGATCAAGTATAATTTTGTCTGACAAAGGTAGGCAGCCCTAAGGTTTCATTTTTAAATTAGTTACTCATTTTTATCATAGAAAACTTTTTACAAATGACAAAACCAAAATAAAAAGTTTGTAATTAACTGAAAATTTGTTCTAGTGGGTAGTGATTGTTCAGTCAAATACTGACGTACTGTAGTATTTAATTAACACAGTTTTGATGTGTGTGATAGCATCCAGGGATTAATTAATCCCATTAATCAAGGGATACCTTTGTAATGTTCCAGTTGGGATAATAAATTTGTGAAATGTATATAAATTGATGCTTGTTCAACATGAGTAGTTTTTTTTTTATAAATTTTGTCAATTTCAGTTAAAAATAAATAATTTTATTTGTTTGCTCTTTATAACTAAGTTACATAATTAGTACTACTATTAATTAAACAACTATCAATATTGCTATACATGTAATGTAACATTATTCTATATATAATTTTAATTACTTACAGGGTAGAACATATACCTATATGCATTTCAGCATGCTTACCTAGTAAAGTGACTGCAAAAATTGTAAGTATTAGTAAAAAATTATTTTAAATACAGATTTATATTAATATATTTTTCCCAAGAATATAGATGTTGAAGTGATAAAATCATATTTTCATGAAACTTTAAACTGTGAATAAATAATAAAATAAATATTTATATATTTAATTGGTAGATACTAAGCAAAATTATTATTATAAAAGGTTAAAGTTAAAACAAAGCAATTTTTTTATGTATATATTGCTTTTTATAAAGAAAATGAACATTGATACTTTCTTCAAATAAGTCAAAATCACAAGCTAATAGAAAAAAAGTAATAATATAGAAACTTATATTATAATGTAATTATCATTGTTAATTTTATAAGGATGGTCACGATGGTGATGTTAATGCGATAAGATGGACTCCATCAGGTTTGTTTGTTGCAAGTGGAGGTGGAGACAGAAAAGTTAAATTATGGGAAATAGCAAATGGTATGATAACTTAGCTTCAGAAAAATATAAATTTATTTTCATTTATATATAATAATTAAAATATATTTTGTTATTATTTTCAGGTCAAATTTTAATAAAAAGTAATTTAATAGGAAGTAATGCTGCTGTAATGTCTTTAGATTTTAATGCTGAGGTAAAGTATTAAAATTGCAAATCTTCAGATTATAAAAAGTTGTAAAAATTTAAAAACTTAGTTAGGGATGCACCAGTAATTGGAATTTATATAAATACTATTCAACCTTGTTATCAACTAAATTTTACAATTAATATCAACTGTTTATTTTAAATAATTGATCAGTTATTAGACATTAAGTATGAAAAAATATATATTCAATACTATAATATTTTTATTAAATTGTAATTACGTTAAATAAATTTAATTTTTTTATTAAAGTTTAAAATGTTTGAACTTTAATTTTTATCACAAAACTTATCACATCACATCAGTTAATGACATTCATATCATAAAAGACAATTTTTCTAATTTGAAACAAAAATTATACTGAAAGTAAGTTGTTGTTTAAAACTATTTAGTTGTTACATTATTAAATTTATGAAGGTGAGTCAAATAACCTTAAATTTTGCTCTTCATAATGTATTGAGGCAAAAGTGTCATATAATTGTGTCATTTTTCTTTGTAGTCTATGTTGCTTTTAATATAAGTTTTCAAACACTTAAAAGTACAAGGATGCCTCTAGAAAAAGTTTGCATATGCAGTCACCATGTGTTGCACCTTTTTATCTAACCGGAAAGTCTTTTTACCCATTGCCTTTTTTGAGTCGTCCAAAGCTGTGGGATGTGAGGGATGAGGTCTGGTGATGTAGGAAATACTTGAATTGCAAATCCCTTATGGTTGCAACTATTGCATAGTCAACATGCTAAGCATTTGCTATAGCTAAGCATTGTTATGTTGCAACATGACACCTGTACTTAGACTACTCAGAAGTCCATGTCATTTGGTTTTGAATGCAGGTCAAAGATAGTTTTTGAAAATATATGAAAATATTGCACTGACAATAGTATTTTCCGTGTGTATGTAGTGCATCAAAATGACATCTCATTTATCCCAAAATAGTCGTCATAACTTTTCTGCAGTAGTCATGTTTGGAACTTCTTCAGTTTTGGTGAAGAAGGAAGACTCGATTCTTCTCTCATCTTCAAATGATGGTAGTGAATCCAGGCTTTATGTCTAGTTACTGTTTTCACTAGGAGGCCATCACCTTATGCTTTAAAGTGCAAAAACAGTTCTTTACTGGCATCAACACATTGTTTCAGTTTTGGAGTCACCTGCCATTGGCATCAATCTTGCAAACACTATGAATTTAGAGCATATTATGAATGATGTGGTGTGTTGAACTGTGACTGATATCCATAATTCTATTATGGGATTCACTGTATCTCAGTAATCTCTCATCATGATGTGTTTAACTAATGCAATTGACTCTGGCATCACTATTTGGTGTGTCTAATCTGATCAAGGAGTGTCTATTACTGAACTTGTGCTGTTTTGGAACTTCCTACTTCACTTTTACACTTGTTAGAGTGACAGACATGAATTATTCTACTGAATATTTATTCACCAATGAATTTTGATAGAGCTATCAGGGTTAAGGCATTGGCATATTGCTACAGAGACTCAAGATCAGATCTGGGCCAATGATCCCAGGGATTTTCCAGAGGCAGTCTGTCCCAGATATGTTGGATCTCATCTCTCATCACTTGCTTCCATTGTGGGCTTGGTTGAAGCCATAAAGGACATGGGAAAATAACCCCTTTTAGTATCCACAGAGTACAAACTTAAAAATGGGAATAAAAATAGTGAATGACAGAATGCTTCTGTTTTGTGCATGTCTCTAATGGACAACCATTTTTGTACTGCTACTGTTATGTCATGTAGCTCATGCAGCCAACTTACAGGGCTCTGGTAGTGTTTAGAATTTCTATTGCACTTTCAAGGTTTTTTTATTAGACTTGCCCTCATAGAGTAAACTTATAAACTTATTATTATCACATGGTTTTGAAAGAAGATGAACAAAGCTGTGCGTTTTTAATGGTACCATTATATAAGTAATACAAATTTGTCGATAGCTGTTGAGTATACACATCAATCATAAACCCGATATCTTAAGCAAATACACCTACATCTGCCACAAATGATTGGGCTATATTTTGGATATATGATTATAGATTAGAAATGATTTTGGCTCTAGAGTGAGATGTTAGGTGCCATCTCTTATTAAAATTAATTATTATAATATTTGATTAATTAATTAAATATTCACTTTGGGCCAATTCTTTTCTTCCAGTTTAATCTAAATTAATTAATTAAATATTATAATTATTAATTTTAATAAGAGATGGCACCTAACACCTCACTCTAGAGCCAAATTCATTTCTAATCTATAATCATATATCCAAAATATAGCCCGATCATTTACAGCAGTTGTAGGTGTAGCTGTTGAATTTAGTTGGTTCAGCTCGTATAAATATCAGCATTATTTCCTAGATTGACATTTTGAATCATTTTTTAATAAGTACAATTTTTTAAATTTTGGGTGGTTTAAATTCAAATTTAATCATTTTTAGAGCTATGTTCACTAAATCATTATTAACTTAATAATCACTTGATTTATATTAAATATTATTGATTATGAATATACTTGAATTAAAAAAATTATTATTATTTTGCCTTAAATAATGAAAATTATTTGCAAAAATCATGTTTTAATGAGTTTTCTTCCATTAATTTAACAAAAATGATTGTATAATATCTAGAAATTAAGACTAATATGTCTAATATATTAATATAGCCAGCATTTTATCTATTTAATATTCTGTAAACATTGGATAAAGAGTTTTTTTATTTTATTATATAGTTAAATGATCATAAATTTTTCTTACAAAATAAAAATTAGTGATACTCTTTAATTTATGTTATTTTTTGATTTGAAGTTTAATACACAAAAATCTGCTTAATGTGAGCACTTGGACTTGCCTGAACTGATAACATTAGCTGATTAGATTAATAAAAATGCAATTAGTGAAAATTTTGGTTTTGGCTTTGGCTTTGGCTTTGACCTTAAAAGAACTTATTAAAACAACTAAAAGTTGTATAACATGCAGATTTATTAATTATAATAATAATTATTAATTACAATGTAATTCATCTAGTCATTCCATGCCAATAAATGAGGTGGATAGGTCTCTCAATTTGGTGCCTGAGGCAGTCATTCCTAGGCACCAAATTGAAAGGGATACTAAAAAAGCATTATGATATTTATAGAAATATAAGTACTGTACATTGGTGCTGTTCTTAGGCATGTCTCAGGTACCAAAATTATTTTGAACAGTGCTGTTTGCAGTATTGTTTACCTGCTATGGTCTTTAAGAACAGTTAGGATACAGTTAAAGTAAGAAATACCAGCAATTTAAACTACTATATTATGAACAGAAAACAGTTAATATTTAAAGCAGTGGTTAAGACTAATAACAACCCTGATGAAGTAGAAAAATTGTCTTAACAATTTATCTGCCAGTTGACATTTTTTTTTAAAGCGTTTTCATTTTGTTATCAATAAATTTAATTTTAGATGTATTACTTCTTAATCAAACATCCTTACTACATCCGATATGTTTAAAGCTATACATCAGCCAAAGCTGAGTATTATCGAGCTAGAAACTCTAATGCCAAATTGTCTATTAAATTATTAATGCTATAGCCGTTTCTAGCCCGATAATATTTGGCTTTGTTTGATGTCTATTAGTTCTTAAATTACAGAACATTTCTTCATTAATGAAGTGAAACAATTAGGCAGAATTTTGAAAATGAAAATTTATTTTTATTTATATTACTTAACAATTTACTAATAGCAATCAAGAATTGTCAAATTTCAAAACTAATTTTATAATGCTTGATTCACAAGATTTGACATTTAAAGATAGGCAAAGTTGCGTTCTTAATGATAGTTTATTTTAAAATTTATAATGCATTTGGTGAAATTTGAATAATACTTATTAATCAACTAAAATTTATGTTCTTTATTTTCAGCTTGATGAAATATGAAGTTTAATGGATTAAAAAGTTGCTTTTTGTCAACTGTTATAATTAAACTAAATAATTTCTTAAACTGCTTTTTCAGCATTTATATTTTTTATTCTTCCTAATGTTTCCAGATTCTTGTAACAACGTTTTTGATGATGATAATGAGAAATACAATTAATTCAATTGTTCTTTTTTAGATATTGCACTTATATTAAACAATATCACTATGAAACCTTAAAATTGAAGTAAGAAGATTAAAATTATTTCTGCCATTTTTAAGGTTTTCATATTGATATTTAATTCAGTTATATTTCTCATCATATTTCTACCAGTTTTATAAAAGAAAGACACTGTTCTAAACTAACAAGGAGACCCTACGGATTTGGGGTAATGGATTTTGATGATCTTTGGTATAGAGGTAGTACACCATGTGAGTGTATTACCTGTAAAATACTAAAGTGCAATACTCAAATATAATTGAGAAAAACGAGCTTAAAGTTTTTCTAGCACTTTATATATAAATTACATGTGCTTCCATTTGAGCATCCTGTGGCTGAGTGGTAATGATCCTGACTCATATGCTTGAGTTTCCAGGTTCAATTCTCATGTACACCTTTTTTTTTTAATTCATAAATACGTATAATGTATTTATTTATTTACTCATTCATTTATTTCTTATTATTTATTTATTTTAATTTAATTTCTACTATTCCAAGTCTAATATTTTTTTACTTTTGATGACAATAACGGCGCATTCTTGACAAATACGTGTCAACTTTTCCATCTAATTGTTATCACTAACAGTGACCGATCTAATTCTCACTAGGAGCGTTTTTTTCTATCGGAGTTCTTTTTCACTCACTCTTTAACAGTTCGTTTCTGAATTTCGACAGGAATAGACGTATTTGTGCAGTGAAATTTACTTTGAATAATTATTTTATAATTAAAAAAATGTCATCAAGAGAAGCAAGTTCTTCAAATTGTGACGAAAAAACTGTTGATGATAACTCTTTACACAGTGATGTATCGAAGCAGCAGCTAAAATATGGAGTAGTGTATTATGAGAGTTTACTTTTTGAAAATAATTTAAT